GGCTTTCTCCCAACAAGGGGACTGAAGGCAGTACATATAACATGAGATAACAAGCATGTGGTCAATGTGTAACAATGCATCATACTGGTTTTCCTGCGCCCCAAAGAACTCTTGTTGTTATTGCTATGTTTAGATTTGGCATGTGCTCTGACTTTGGACAAATGAGCAAAAATGGACCTAATTTTAAACATGTGTGCGTTTCTGGAGTGACCAATGGACAGAGCAAGGAGCTAATGGATTCAAATAAATAAATTATAAATAGGTTATAATCTAATCTCTCACATGACAGCCACAATGGAGGAAATGGAAGTGGACAGTGATTTGGGGATGATCATATATTAAAATCATGTAGCCCCATAAGGATCCATGCCAAGGATATGCTGTAAAAATACATTGATACTGCTTGATTTATACATTCTCCTTGTTTTAAAGGCTGATGCAATAAATATATCTAGTTAAGCTTTTGAAGTGGACTGAATGGATTGCTGCAGCTGCTTAGGAGGCAAGAAGGAGGGCCAGAAGCAACTGCAGGATAGGGTTGCCAAACAGCATTCTGCTGCCAACATCAACCAATGCGAAAAACCCACAACAACCATCAAATATTTTGACTCCAGATCCCAGAATTGCAACCCAGCAGAGCCAGTGGTAGAGAATAACAGACATGAAAAATCTGAAAGAGCCTGTCCAGAATGTTGTAATTGGTACCACCAATGTGCTGATGACACCCAACTCTATCTATTTTTTAAAGATCTTCAATGAGGCCCTTCTCTCAGTCTCTCAGCCCCAGTGTGTGGCCACACACACCCTGCCAATTTCACCCTAGAACCTACAGTACACTCTTAGACAGTTGAAATTCTACTTGTAAAAATAACCTTGCAGTCATTGTGTGTTTTCTGTTGCATCAGTTTAAAAACTCAGTGTGAAAAACAACAGCATTCCTGCATAAACATCTAATCAATTGAGTCAAATATTTTGACTCCAGCTCCAAGAATTGCCACCCAGCGGAGCCAGTGGTAGAGAATTACGACTCCAATATTTTCCATACAGGAAATCTTTTGGAATCCGACCATCAGCTATTCTCACGACATGCCCGAGCCAACATAGACATTGCTGTTTCAGTAATGTATACATGCTCAAAATTCCAGCTCGTTCTAGGACTACTCTACTGTATTTGGAACTTCGTCCTGCCAAGTGATACCAAAAATGCATCTGAGACAACGCATATGGAAGGTGTTCAGCTTCCTCTCCTGCCATGCACAAAGGGCCCAGGACTTGCTGCAGTACAGGAGTACTGTAATATAACACCTGTACTACAGGTATTATAACTCCAATGTACATGGAGAGCCAAAACCTCCCACTCCTGAACTAATAAAGATAACATTAATCTTTATGCCAATGGCATGGCCATGAAAGATCTCATAACTTCTTGACACACAACACTTCTAAGGATGTTTCAAATCACATGATCACTAGGAGGAAGTCATTGACGGACAAGCCAAAGGAAGATGAATGGTATATGCTGATGGGTATCCTTGAGAAACACAGAATTTCTGATTCTTTGAATGTGTTTTATAACAGGCCAGGCAACCTCTGAGAGACTGGGAACCCTTGTTTTCCCCCCACCTCATATCTCATCTCATGTAGAATTTACAGTGAAATTGGAGGTGGGTGACCACACAGTGGGACCTGAGAGGAGGGCCTCCTGGAAGATCTGAAAAAGCCAATGGAGTTGGGTGTCATCAGTTTAATGGTGCAGAAGAACACAACATTCATTTCAGGCTCAGTGGGACCTGAGAGGAGGGCCTCCTGGAACATCTGAAAAAGCCAATGGAGTTGGGTGTTATCAGTTTAATGGTGAAGCAGAACACAACATTCATGGCAACCTCTTTCAGGCTCTCTTTCATGTATATGTGAAATAATATTGGGAATCATGGAACCCTGACACACTCCACAGGCTAATGGTCAAGGTAATAGACAGGAGTCCTCTAGCACCACTACCGTTCACAAAGTGACACTATGCAAGGGAAAATCCCAGAAGCGGACTCCTTTTTTTCACCAGTTAACCACTTCTGACTCAAACACAAATCAATTTTTAGGGCTGCTTTTCAACAAGTGTGAATGGTAATGAGTAGAAGAGGGTATCCTGTAGACCATCTTGGATGTTGCCAATGGTGTTGTCCACATTCCAGCTGTCCTTTGCTATGTAAAGTTTGGAATTTTTTTTCCCTGCTGCCAACAAGGGGATGATATTTTGGAGTTATATCCGGCCATTTCCGGGCTTTTTGAATAGTGGGCAAAGAAGAACAATATCCACATTCATAAAACAGAAGGTGTGTGTGTGTGTGTGTGTGTGTGTGTGTGTGTGTGTGTG